ATTGAAATGAATATGTTGATGATTATGAAATGATTTGGATTGTAAGGATATCTAGAAGAACTCTAAGATATACCTAGGTTGACTTTGGTTTCTAAGACTATCTAGAAGACCTCTAAGATAGCTTAGAAATAGGCCTTGCGGGTATAATCATGAGTATTCGGTGGCCTGGGTTAAAACGTACGTACGGGATCTACAAACCAAACTCGAGGCACTCGTTTGGGGATACCACCCAACCCGACAGTGAGCATTTCGGATCCGCTGTTCGGTTTTTGGATGACCTTAATCGAAGGTAAGTTTAAGATTTTGAAAACCTTTTTTGAAAATTTATATCTTAAACTAGGTCTAACTTAAGGGTTAGATAAGAGTACCTTAAACTTGAATATAGTTTAACTATGTTAGACTAGATTTCGTTTAAGAGTTGGTAAACATCAAATAGATTGGCCTTAGACTAAGAATAGTTTAAGGATATTGTTGAATGACAAATGATGAATATTGTATGATGTATGTTGAATAAAAATGTTGAATATGAATGATGAATAAACATAATGAATATTGATTATTGAATATCTAAACTGAACATTATGTGCATGATATCAAATGGTTGATTATGAATTGAGATTCAATTTATGTGGATGTTCGACGCATTAGATATGCTTACTCAGCTTTACCGCTGAGCGTGTAGTGTGTTTTATTTGCTACACGCAGGTCAATAGAATGATGTGATGTGATCCTGGAGGCAGACGGAGGCGAGATAGTCAGAATGGATGTGATGGTTTTGAATTAAAGAATATAAATAAATTATGTTTGTGGTTATAATTTGTTAAGCTTCCGCAATATTGAAAACTCTGTACTGTTCATGATGTGAAAAATATTATTATAATAAATAAAAGTGTTTGAAAAGTTTTAAATTTTACGATTACCAAGTTAATACTTTAGTCCGAAAGGGGCTGCAGACCTGGACGGATTAGGGTGTTACAGCTTACCCATTGATGGGTAGCACTTCCCATCGATGGGTGGATGGTTAGCCAAAAACCCATGGTTTTTGCCTTAACCACGGCCTAGCCAACCGATGCAAAAACCGACCGAAAAATCCAAAGTTCTCCAAAATAAAAATCAAGTGTTTAAAACACTTATTTGGTGTATTTGGCTAAGAAATCAAGTGAGACACTTTAAAAACCACGTCATTTGAGTAAAAACCACGGCTAGCCAAGTTTATGTCGTTTTGCGTGGTTTTTGCCAAACGACAAAAAACGAAAGGTGGTTTTCAAGGTGTTTTTGTTGGAGAACTGTTTAAACATGCCAAGAAGTAAAAACCAATCATAAAATGTTGAAAACCACTTGGTTGGTCCGGACGCCAAAACCAACGCCGAAAACCGAATGCCGGACGCCGGTTTCTGAAAGCCGAACGCCGGATGGCTTGGTTTTTGGTTTGGGCGAACGCCAAGTGTTTTTAAAGATTTAAACATGTTTGAAAAACATTTTTATGATATGAGAAATGCAATAAAAGATTTTAGCCTAAAGAGCCAAGGTGTAAAGGTTGGGTCGGTCTTGATCACAATAATGACCGACTCAACGACGCTAAGACTAAGGTCTTCGTTCTTGGTCTTCTTTTAGCTCTTGTTCTCATCTACGTTCTTCGCCTTGTGTGTTCAATGTTTTGTCTTGTTCACGGCGGTTTGGCATTATCAAAACCTGTCATAAAAACGAACACGGCTTTAGTACGAAAACATGACAAGCCCGTGTTTCAACAGATGATAACTTTATGAATAATTGAAAACCATTCAAACTTAAATACAAATATCAAATTCATACATTTAATTCGGAGTAATATCTGAAATAGTGTGGAAGCTTAATAGATAAAACATGTTCAAATCCATATTACAGTTTCTAGGTACTCGCCTGAAAAGGTAATTTATTAAAATGATGCACAGTAAAGTCCACCAGTCCATACATCGTTGGCAAATCATTCTCTAGGTAATTTCAATTCCATCCATTATTTCTGAAATGTAACACCTATAAAAAACAATAATTGAATACATGCATTGAACAATGCTCAAATTTGGATATGTATTCAAGAATATAATGGGATGTTTTGATCAGTATTTCGTTAGTCAATATTTACCAGAATAACAATTCTCAATTTCTTTTTTCATATGAGGTTGTAGTGTGAATACTTCCACTGTGTGTCTTGCTTCAAGGATCTTTTAAAATTAAATTTTGTCGTCAAAAATAGATGTGTTTGCTGTTTGCATCCTTGACAACCACTGAATAAGGGTGTCTTTGTTCAAAAAGTCCTTTAGTACTGTTTAACGACTTTTAGTTATGTGTTGTTTCAATCTGGTTGAACTCTGTTTATGTGTTAGAAAATGTAAAACTTTTTTTTCACATTAAACCAGTAATTGAACACATTTCATATGCATTTTTTATTAAAATAGAGATTCTTTTAAGATTTTTTAGTACAAATGATCTCTTTTTCATCCAACTTTGTTATAAATAGAAACTGTGACCTAATAGGCACCCCCCTTCTTGGATTCAAATAAGAGAGATATGTCCTCTCTCTTGATGGACTGGCCGTCACTACAATAGGATTCAAGGATGAACTAGAAGCGCCACATTCTCTCCAATCAAATACGTAGGTTCAATGAGTTTATTTATCTCCCCTCTTATAATGTTCGTAATAGATTGATCAACAGATCACATTCTAAAGTTACGTTGATTCTCCTCTTATCATGTTTGTAATAGATTGATCAACAGATCACACTTACAGATTTACAATTACAAAAAAATACTCCCTCCGTCCCACAAAACATGACCCATTTTGAATAGTATTTGGTCAAACAGTTACACGTTTTGACTATAAATTGTGAGAAAAGTATTTTGAATTATAATATAAATTTCATATAAATGGATTCATCTTAGGATCTAGTTTTGATATATCAAATTTTTATAACATTTCTTTCTTCAGATTATATTTAGAGTAAATTCCATAATGGGTCCTTTATAACGGGGGGTTTCCCTATTTAGTCCTCTATTATCAAATATTACCCTAGTGGTCCTTCTTTTATGTGTATCTTTCAACAAATAGTCCTTTTTTTATCTTCTATCACGTTGGTGTTAATTTGAGGGCTAAATGTGTAATTTCACAATGATAATATATCTTTTTTGTCATACACAATTCCAAAGGCTGTTCCGTTTGCGTCATTTGTGAATTACAGTCGCTTTCTACTACAACCATAGTCTACAAATGTGGTCTTTCGTCGGAATCCTAGCCCACAATCATAGTCATTATTTTTGTGTTATCCACTTAACCAATATCAGAACACGTCACTAGACATAATGCTGGTGTCAGATTATACTTTTAGCCTTTAAATTAACACAAACATGGCAGAAGATCAAAAAAAGGACCATTTGTGGAAAAACACCTTTAAAAAAAGGACTACGGGGGTAATATTTTATAATAGAGGACTAAATATGGAAACCCACTGTTATAAAGGACCAATTATGTAATTTACTCTTATATTTAATTTATGGTCAAAATGTGTAACTGTTTGACCAAAAATACATCAAAATGGGTAATGTTTTGTGGGACGGAGGGAGTATAAGGGAACCACCGAACAGGCCTGGAACCAGTGCTGGAACTGACGATTCTAGAACCGCAGTCGGTACCATGACATCCGGCAACGGTAATGGTTCTATGGGCTGGCGGTACCGGAACCGACGATTTCACAACCGTACCAGAACCATACCGTGTCCATCCCAAATTGTAGTCCTAGGGGGCTTAGTACTCTCAACAATAACAATTAGGCACATGTTGTAAAAATGTACAAATAGCATTTTCTAATAACGTTTTGAAATGGTCTTATACTTCGTAATTTACAGTATTCCATATTTTGTACTTTCTTCATTTTTATTTTTAATTTATTTTTTATAACTTTCTTGATATATTAAAAATAAATAAATATATACGCAATGATCTTAGATTCATTTATTTTTTAATGTGTCAAGAAATTCATGATGATCTACTCCCTCCATCTCAAAAAGATCTTCACATTTTACTATTAAAAAATTACTTTTGTTTATTAGAGATCACCCAAAATAAGAGTAAAATTTAGAAAATACCAAAACACAAGTTTCATATTTTTAATCCCAAAATAGAAGTTTGTACTAAGATAATGTTAGACTATATATTGACATTCCAAAGTTTGTTTGGTATTATATGTTGACATTATTGGCATTATAAATTCTATTTTGAGAATAAAAATATAGCACTCATATTTTCCTAATTTTTTATGTTTTGCATCTAGTTTAGTCTTATTCTTCTTGTTTTTTCTATATTTTCATTGATTATTTGATAAAATATAATATATTCGGGTCATCTCCTATTTTATAAACTTTTGACATAATTTTTAATAATTTTTAAATACTCGTATATAGATTTTGAATACTGAGTGTATATTAATTTTTAAATAAAATTTTGAGTAATATTTTATTTATAGTGGCAACGCCTACGATGCGTACGTAGAGTGTAGACGTAACGACAATGGCTTTTTTCGTGCATAATTCAAAACAAAAAATGGAGTTTGACTTTTCTCCGGTTTTTACCTGATCATCATCTTCCAGAGCCTCTCTACTTTACTGTTGTCTCTTTTTAAGGTATAGGATTCTCCTTCTTCATTCATCCTCCAAAGACTGAAACAAATGGGAGCAGAGGAAGAACAGTATCTTCCCACTCTGCTATCCCTCTTCGATTCTTTCTGGTTCGAACACCAAATTCTCACCTCAAGAAACTCAGCCGCAGCAACAAAGCCCCAAGAAGGGAGTCCCAAAAACAAGATTTCAAGAATCCCAACTTCCATGCCCAGATCTCTCAGTGACAAATGTTTGAGCTCCAAGGACTGCTTAGATTCAGAGGAGCCCTCCCCCATGTCTGTTCTCCTCGAGCCCAAACAGCTCCAGCCCATTCTTTCCGGCAAGGAGTTTTCCGGGAACACTGATCTGGGCTTCAAGAACAGAGAGAGTTGCCGGAGGGGGACGATGGTGATGAAGAGGAAGAACAGTAAGAGCTTGTCAGATCTTGAGTTTAAGGAGCTAAAAGGGTTTATGGATCTTGGGTTTGTGTTCTCGGACGAAGATAGAGAATCGGAGCTGGTTTCCATCATCCCTGGACTGCAGAAGAAGGGGGTTTCTGAATCTGGGCAGATTTCAGATGTTTCAAGACCATACCTTTCTGAAGCTTGGGATGCTATGGAGGAGGAGGAGAAGGAGAGGGATATTGGGAGTGGATTGGGGAACTGGAGGGCTCCAGCTTTTGGCAATGAAATGGAAATCAAAAAACATCTCAGATTCTGGGCTTATGCTGTTGCTTCTAATGTTAGATAACACAGTCCAGTCCAGACCTGTGATGAATGGTTATGTCCTAATCCACAAAGAGATGTACTGTTCTTGTTTGTATTATAGAATTCCTACCCAATTCGTTTAATGTGAAAAGCCAATCTTCCTTGATATGGTTGTTTACTCTGCGTTTGCTAATTTACTCTGTGCCTGCTGCTATACAAAGAGATGATGATTCAAGGCTGTTTGATTTGTGGGAAAGATGCTGGTCATGATCACTATTATTGGATTTTAAGAGGGTTGACATAACACAAAACTAGGGCTCTGACAATTTCAACCTCAAAAGTAGTCCCTATTTGTGAAGGAACTGATTCAACCAAAAGTTCAAGCTTGTGCTTGGATCCTAAAAAGATGTTTATATATTCTAACACGCCTCTCAGGTACAAACGTCACTTCTTTGAGTCTTGCAAGTGAAACTTTAATTTTTTTAACGGGCTAGTGATGAATTTCGAATTCGTAATCTCTTAATTAAATATAATTTGATAAAAAATGGTCTAATTGAATATTGAAGAAGAATACCTTGCCATATATAGGGATTACAAGAGAGAACTTTATCTATAGTAACAATACAATAAGCAAATAAAGGAATAAGGAAGGTAATTAATAATAATATTCTACTCCATCCGTCCTAAATCTACCTTCCCGGTTTGACTTTAGGCCATTTTTAAGGGATTAGTTAATTTTGCTTTGACTTCCAATTTTGCCCCTCCATTAAAACTTTGAAATAAAAACTAAGGCATTTCATTCCCTTTCGACTTCTGAGTACGACTAACTGGAGAATCTCTCTCGTTGAAAAATTCTCATTGATACTCGGAAAGCTCAAATCTTTAACCCACATGGAAATAGGATACAATTTATACGAAGGAATTATCCCGTGGTAATTTGGTAATTTGAGGAAGATTCGGACATTTCTAGGGTAAATCTCACCAGTCCCATTTTGAATGAGGTTGGAAATCCAACAAAACTAACTTCAATCTTCATGTTTGGTTATCTTCTTGATGGATTCATCCCATATGAAGTAGGAAACACCACTTCTCCCGAAAGTTTGGATCTTTTTGTGATCCGTCTCTCTTCTCCCATACGAAGGAATTATCCCGTGGTAATTTGGTAATTTGAGGAAGATTCAGACATTTCTAGGGCAAATCTCACCAGTCCCATTTCGAATGAGGTTGGAAATCCAACAAAACTAACTTCAATCTTCATGTTTGGTTATCTTCTTGATGGATTCATCCCATATGAAGTAGGAAACACCACTTCTCCCGAAAGTTTGGATCTTTCCGTGAATCTCCTCTCCAGCGAAATCCATATGAAGGGCGTGAAGAATAGATCTAGGATTTTGTGGGAGAGGGAAGTTACAGAGAGAGCGAGAGAAGGAGAGACGGAGAAAGGTCGTCGAGAAGGACAAACAGAGAAAGGGGGAGACATATATCTAGGGTTTAGACGGAGAAAGGTCGACGGTGGCTTACCTGCTCAAAGCGGTCTGATCGGCGATGGTGGAGCGAAGATGAGATCTACATTTTGAGAGACGGAAGAGGGAGAAGAGAGACGGAAGAGAGAAGCCAGGAGGTTGAGAGAGATGGAAGGAGATTAGATCTACATTTTGAGGGGGGGAGGAGGGAGAAGAGAGACGGAAGAGAGAAGCCAGGAGGTTGAGATAATTGAGAGAGGGGTAAGATAGTCAATTCATACTCTTTTTTAAGAAGTGGGAAGGTAGTTTTAGTACGGAGAAAAAAGGAAAGTGGGAAGATGGTTTTAGGACGGAGGGAGTAATTTTTAATACATCTATTATTCCTAATACCTATATTTAGATAACAAATTCTTAGTGGTTCTAAAGTTAATGATTATTTTATGAATTTTAGTGCATTGATATCATAAAAAATTACGAAGTACTTTTTTTTATAAAAAAAGAAATGATCTACTTACCAGCTCATGTAGAGTGTGAGGAGATTATTTTTTTTACATGTGGATTTTAAGACCATGGAAAAACAACTCTATTTAGATAGGGGTGTAGATTGTACATATATTGACCCCGATACCCCGTCCGCAAAAGCCTGCCCGCAAAATAACGACTTAGACTAGATATTGTTGGGTATAGGGTGGGATTGGGCCGACCAGAATTGATAAAAGAAATCCTCCTAGGTAGCACTATAAAACCACCAATATTACATAAATAGCGCTCTCTTAGTTTTTTGACTTAAATGGGAATTCTTGTGTGAAGGCATTTCAATTATACCCTTTTAGTAATCTTTTGATTTCCTTAGTTTTAAGAATTGACTTATTCTCTTTCCTTGAATGTAGCGGTTAAATTTTATGCATTCTTTACATGATTGTGTCGCTCAAACGCTCCGTGACAGCAGTGTGGCGGCAAGCGGGTAATGATGGATGTGTGACTGGGGTGGTGGTGATCGTAACGACAGAAAGTGCCCCTTAGAGTAATTTACTTTAAATTTTAGACGTTCCCGAAGTTATCTTTGTAAATGTGGGTCCCTTGAATTCTTACTAAAAAATCGAGGTTACCTTTAAGTAATTTTCTATTTTTATTTTTTTAGAAAATATTTTTTGTGAAATATATGAAATGTGACTTTTATTATTTTTTCTTTTGAAAATAAACTTTCCAAAAAGAATTTCCAATAACTCCAAAACCTCAGTTTTCCAAGTAAATCATAATTGAAGAATTCAAATATTTCTTGATGGGATTTTCTCTGATGCCTCATTATTTGAGAGGGTATGGATACCCTTCCTCTAATTTCTTGACATGTGTATGAATAATTGTATTAATTATATTTTTCATTCCATTAGTTTCTAAAGCAGTGTTTTACTTCTATACGTTTTTTTATTTTTGTCTTTATTTCATTCCTCATGTATCAACCGATAATGTAATTTTGAGAATTTTTTTATATCTTTTTGTAATTTTCTTCCTCTCTTGTTTATTTATATTGGTTTATGAAATGTTTTTTGAGCTTATTTTTCAACACTAACAATACAACCTTTTTACTTGACCAATTTGGGTTTAGGATATATGACTTAAATAAATTATAGTTCTATTTATTTAAAAAATCGTGTATGTTGAAATATTGAAATAATAAAATTACTACTTGAATCATGGAGTATATGATAGAATTATGGAGCTAACAGTGTAAAATTAAATATTTAACTTATATCTGCATAACTTATATAAAAATTGATAAAATAATATATGAGTAATAAACCAATTTTGGTTAAAACTATAACTTTTAATCAAATGTGTGATAATAATGATAAATAAAAAAAGATGAAAATTAATTTGACATCTTGGATAGTAAATTAGTAAATTAAGATAAATGATGAAATATTTCATTATTCATATGCTAATATAAATATTTATATATGGAGTATTTGATAATAAAATTATATTTAATCCGATTTCACTATTGACTCTAGATTCAAGACTTTGATTAAAATTAAAATCTAAAAATATAGTTTAAGTTTAGATTTGCGTGTTTAAATAAAAAATAAAGCCAAAATTCAAAAAAAAAAAGTTAGGGAGTAAAAATACAAAATTTTTACACTTTTTTAACAAAAAAAAACAACATAACGAAGTTTAAGGAAAAAAAATAAAATGAGATCAGGATGAAGGATTTTGTAAAATATATTTTATATTATTAATACTCATAAATTTAGGCATAAAATAATCCACATGTCAAAATAATAGTGGAAGGACATCCATGCCCTCTCAAATAAAAAGGTATGGGAGAAAATCCCTTTCTTGATTATGGCCCCGTTTGGCATCAGCGTCAGAGATTAGCATTAGCGTTTTGAAAAAGCTATCCGACAGTAGCCTTTAGCGTTAGCATTTTCAGAATTAATCTGCACCGTTAAAATTTTATCCAAAACGCTAACGCTAATCGAAAATGCTGTTACCAAACAAAGCCTATATCTTAGACCAATATCGCTAATCTAAAGCCTGTTGATGGAGAACTTTAACATGACAAGTCTAACTTTTCTAAGTTAGTAGGAATAAGAAATTCAAATACTCTATCCTTTAACAATTTAAAATAGTTTGAAAGAAAAAAAACTGATGCACTTTAGCTCTTAGACAGTAAAGTTACATTTCTTCCTTCAACTAGTAATCTGAACCACCTATATGGCATATGAAGCTGAAGTAAATGGAAGAAGATAGCTAATACAAAGCTATATATATATATATATATATATATATATATAGAATCTAAAACGCTCCATACAAAGCAAATTAAACTACTTCATCTTCACAAGGTATAAAGATTAAACTCCAACTTATCTTCAGTTAATGAAGAAAAGTTGTAATCAAACTCTAGTTGATTAAGGAGGAATCAACGTTTGAACGGCACATTATATTATTGTTGTACTTTGTTATCAGAAAAACACGAGTGACATCCCCTAGTCCCCTACTTTTGAAAAGAATTTGAACCGTGCTACGGTAACCAAAACTATGACTCCAAGTTTTACACAGACCTTATCTGTGTGGCACAGACAATAACAGTTTGTGTGATCTGTGCAAAGAATTGTTTGAAAGAAAGCAATCAGAGTCTATACTCTTACTTATTTCGTACGTAGTCTTACTTTTTAAAGTTGTTTTAGTACAAAGTTAAAGAGAGGAGATAGAATAAAAGATAAGAAGAAAGTTTTCAAGTACTGATATGTATAGATGGCAAAAGTGAAAAGTAAATTAGAAAAGACCTTTTATTCATTAAACTCTTTCTAGAATTTTTTTCCACTTACACACATTAACTAAACATATTTATATAAAACTTTTGACTCAATAAACAAATGACCCTAACTTACTCTGCTAAACAAATATTTTAATAATATAAAATCAAACTAATGAAGTCTCTCAGGTAACTGCATATAGGATACTCTATTCTTTTGCCATAGACTTACCTTGCTCAAAATCAGCTAGGATTATAAAGCCATACATCTATCTTTTTCAAGTAAAAAGTCCATTTATCCCCTGGAGTTTTTTGCAAGGCATTGCTCATTCAATTGGGAGGGAATAATGGGTTTGCAATATAGATGAAAATGTTTAAAAATTGTTTCCAAATCTGCTTACAGATCCATCAGATCACACGTATATATAGCTTCCCAAGAACGCGACTGCCCTAGCCAGAACAGCACCCACCTTGTTTCCCTCCTTGCTCCTTCACATTAATACTCTCTCCTCTCGGAGGAACGGATATAGTGGACCCACCAGCATCGCCAGTCTCAATGGCCTTCTTGCTCACAATGTGATAGATCTGAGTGAGCACTTCAGTGAAGGCACTCTCCACATTCGTCGACTCCAGTGCAGAGGTTTCCATGAAGTAGAGAGACTCCTTTTCTGAGAATTCCGTGCCTTCCTGTGTCGGGACGGCCACTAGATGTCTGAGGTCTGATTTGTTGCCGATGAGCATCACCACAATGTTGGGATCTGTGTGGTCTCTTAGCTCCTTCAACCACCTGCTCACATTCTCAAATGTGGTGTGCCTTGTAACATCATACACAAGCAAAGCCCCTACTGCTCCTCTGTAGTAAGCGCTGGTTATCGCACGGTACCTGCTTCAGATGAAAGAAAGCATTACATTATTTCAGCTGGTTTGCGTGGCATCACACAAGAAATGTCAGCTGAAAATAACCCCCAGCCACGTCTCCTGATTTGACACAGTTGTGGCATAAAAATACCCTTAGGTTGCATTCAGAGAACATATTTTATCCAACCTCCCACAAGTTTGCATTTTCTGGGTAAATTATATAGTTTTAGTTTGTTTCTTTTGATCTTTTTGTTACCATGCCATTGAGGTCATCTTTGGTCAAGAAACAAAACAAAACAAGACAAACAGGTCCTTGGGGCATCCTGCTTCCATTTCAAACCAAACAAAGTAACAAACACAGTTTATCCTACCCAAGAGTAAGCAAACCTCAGCACAGGAAAACTGACTACAACTTAAAATCTTAAATACCCAATTAGATATCATCAAATTAACAAGACCCAGAGACTTGCGAGAATTCCGAAATACAGAAATCAGATGGAAAAATTCAAAAAACCCTTAATCAGGAAAGATTAATAATTCTTTAACCGATCTCAACCGGCCATGCCCACAGACAAAGAATAAAGATTTGAACTTTAAACAACACAGTGTGGACCCAATTAGTATAAACAAAACAAATCTGGGAGACAAAGAAAGGGGGGAGATTTGCGATGACCTTTCCTGCCCAGCAGTGTCCCAAATCTGAGCTTTGATGACTTTGCCATCGACGGTGAGGCTCTTGGTGGCAAACTCAACACCGATGGTGGATTTGGACTCCAGATTGAACTCGTTCCTGGTGAACCTGGAGAGGAGGTTGGATTTGCCCACCCCAGAATCTCCGATCAGCACCAGCTTGAACAGGTAGTCATACTCATCTTGAGCTCTGTACCCAGCCATTGGAATCAATTAGAGTTGGAAGAGTCAAGAAAATGGGGGAATCAATGGGACGCCAGTCTACTTCCTGTCTGGGTTTGGCTAGATTCTAGGACACAAACATTTGAACTTTTTTTTATGTTATGGGTGCGTTTCACTTTAACCTGATCTCGGCTTTGCCCGTGTTGTTTCCACTTTCCACTTTCCACTTTTACTTCTTTTTTTTTGTGGTTTTTTTTTTACCGGTAAATTCCAAATAATTACTACAATGTGACGCTGGTTTTGTTGTAATGACTCCAAGATTTCACTATTTTCTTAATACCAGTAAAGATATTTAAAATTAATTGAAATGTCATTAGCGGGTAACAACAGACCAATTTTTTTTTCTATTGGTCGCAAATTAACTAGGAGCAAGAGAATGGACGTGTAATTCCCGTCATGCCCTTGTTCTTTTATTAATTGAATCAACAACCATAATAGTTGTTGAATTGGCAGAAGAAGAAACACCTCATCATCCATCGCTCTTCTCTATCTAATCCCAGATTCTCTAGTATCTACTGGCGAAGCCTAATCGTCAACATCACATGTCTCTCGTAAGCTCATCTTCCTTTTGCCTATCAACGTCTTCTCCATTCGAATGGTACGTTTCTTGAACTGTGCTAGTTGTGCGTGAATCATGAACCAGGATTAGGGTTTTTGGATTGTTTTATTGTTAATAATTGGTCATTTTTTATTTATGTTTTAATTGGTTTGTGTATGATTTAAGATCCTTCAGGATTTTTAGTTAATGTGAAGCACCAAAATTTTTTGATAGACGATATTGACTTGGATATGTACTTTATCGAAGATCTTTATTGTGATGTCAAAATCAGTGTGTAAAAAACACAATGTTAGGCTGCCTAGGTTTATTGGGTTTAAATGGCATCCTTCAGGAAAAGAATTTCATAGAAGGTCACTAAGAAGGGATAGAGATTGGAATGTGTAGGTGGGTCATTAGGGAGAACTTAAGAGAACCAAAATGATTCATTTATATGTTGTTGAATTGGACGAGGCTTGTAAAAATATAAATGATGGTTGAGAGTCTTGAGAATCTGCAAGATGAAAAAAATAGGAATTATAGTGTGTTTCCTAATCCTATTTCCCAATTGTCCAAGGAGCCAAGTTTGAGTGAAGTTGAGCAATGGGCTAATGATTTGGTTGTAAATCCCATTCAAGTTTCTAAGAATTCTCTAAAGGCACCTTCCAAATCAACAAGTCATTTGTTTGGACAATAGCCTAACTTAGTTGCTAGAAGGGAAATGCTTAAGGCATCAAATCTGCAGAGTACTCCAGCAACATCAATGTACCTCTCATCTCCCCAAAACAACCATACAGAATCTTATTCACATATACCCACACCCATTCAAACACAATGCAATCTTACTCATTTCATTTTAAAACCTATTTCCAGCCCTTCCCAATCAAACTGTAGCCTTTTACATCATGGAGAAACTTCCAAGACTCATAGGAAAAGAAAAAAGAAGAAGAATGAGAGAACCAAATGGGTGCACCAATATGAAAATGTTGAATTGAACATAAAACTTTTTACCAGTGAGTTGAGAGGATTAGAGGTTTATGATATCCCTGAATTGAGTAAACCTCAAATACCTATACTTGATGTCTTTGTTGAAGCAAATGTACTTTCTAATGAGGTTGAAGTTGAAGTGGGATAGAATGTTGAACAACAGATAACTTCTCATAATGATACTTCTCATGATGATGGTAGTGACTATGAGAATGTTGATGAAGATATCTTGAGTAGTGAGGAAGTCTCAGTTGAAAAGGAATCTAACTCTGGAGAAGAGATAGATATAAATGTTGACATTAGTAGAAAGATGAGTCTAGGCCATGAATTATTAGATGAAGATGGTAGTGGTTGTCCACTGGTTGTTGATAAGATGGTAAGAGTATTCAATAATGGGAGGCTTTGGAGTAAAAGCAGAGATGGAATTGTTGACTTAAATGTGGGTGATATTTTTACTTGCAAGAAAGATTTTCTTAGAGTTATGAAGGATAACAATATTTAAAAAAGGTATAACTTTGAGGAAAGTAAAATATGACAAGAGTGGATACAGTAGAAGAAGTAATGTGAAGTGCAACTTTAGAATACATGCTTCTGTGTTCATTGATAAACGTCTTGGATGATTAGGTCATTTTGTGATAAACATGTCTGCTTAGTGAAAGAGCATAATCCTAGGGCTAGTCCAGGTTGGGTAGCTACCAAACACATAAAAGACTACAGGACTAATGTGAACATGAATGCAGAAACTATTCATAAGCTTATTCTGAAGAAATTCAATACTGTTATATTAATGTACACATATTGGAGGGCATGTAGGTTGTTGAGAGATATTGTTCATGGAAGACATGAGGATGGTTATCGCTTACTGCCACATTATATATGGAAGTATTTAAAAGAAGGAATTCGGAATCTCTTTGCTTCATCAAGTGGAACACTCAAGGACCCAGCAAAGACCCCACATTTAAAAGATGTCAAATTTGTGTTGGGTCAGCCATTGTAGCATTCAAAAAATTCTGCAGACCACTTATAGGGATTCATGTTTTTTTCTTAAAAGGTCCATACCAAGGGGTACTCTTATTTGCAAGGCATTAGATGGAAATAATGGTTTGTTTCCCTTAGCCTATGGTGTAGCTCGATGCTAGAGAGGACTCCTCTAAATATACAATCATGTCTGGAAGACACCAGGTACAAAGTCATGTTACTCAAATTTTTTGTTTGTTATATGTCTATAAGTACTCACTTTACATTTTTGGAGTGACTTATTTAGTTTGATTGCATGGCATAATAAAAACTCTAAAGCAGGTTGTCCCTAAAGCTTCCAAAAGGATATGTGTGCTCCATTTCTATAAAAATTATGCCACCAGGTTCCCAGGTTTGTATTTGTAAAATTATTCCAGTTTCATATGTTAAAGTTACATGGCCAGTGGTTCACTTTGGAATATGTTGTTAAATTAAGTTGTTAATATTGCAAGGTGCGTGGTTCCATTGTTTTTTCTACATATGTGCAAACATATATTTAGAATATATTTTCAATAAAGCTATGGAGAAGATAAAAGAAGGGGATGTTGATGCTTATACATGGTTAACAAAAAAACCCTGGATCATTGGGCTAAGTGTAAATTTGATCCAAATTTGAAGTGTGGTGACAATACACACAACTTTGTAAAATCCTTCAATCATGCAATTATATAACTCAAAGACAAGCCAATTGTAAAGATGCTAGAAGAGATTAGAAAGTTGATAGGTTGAAGGTTTGAGAAGAGGTTTCAATTAGGGGGAGTTGAGACACTAAAGTGATACCATATGTAGATAAAAAATTGAGAGTCTTAGCTTGTGAGTCCAGAAACTGCTCCCAGGTACCAATTAATGGTAGAGGTGAATTTGATGTACTTGATGGGAGCACTAACTTCACTGTGTGGCTTAGGGAGTATAGTTGTGATTGTCATAGATGGAAAATTATAGGTTTGCCTATCTAGCATGCCGCTAGGTGTATTCTAAGGAACAACAAGAACTTGGAAGACTACTGCTCCTCATGGTTCACTATTGAGAACTATAGAGGTTTGTACGATGGGATTATACACCCTATCCCTGATGCGTGTATGTGAGCGATCATCTTTGCCTAAGTTGGACCCTCCAACAGAGTTTAGGAAGAAAGGAAGACCAAAAACGCACAAGAGAAGAGGATGCTTTGATGACATAATAACAAAAAGTTTGCTCATGGTACAAAAAGATGCAGCAATTGCAAAGTATTGAGCAACGACTTAGGACATGTGATTAAGCGAGGAATGAAGAAGGATTATTGGTAAAGAAATATGAAAGGAAGAACAAAAGTGTTATATACGACAAGTTTTGTTAGTATTTTGGTACATCATGAAACTTAATGATTGTAATTTGGTTCATTTTGGTACTTATTGGTGATGTTTTTTTGGTACATGTTTGTATCATGGATGATGGTCTTGCATTTTGTGAAAGTTTTATTACTGGAAATGTTTTGGTACATATTTTGTTTTAATTCGGTGTTAATCCATAAATATTCCCCAAAACCTACAAGCACACACTTAATAGAGTGAAATTAGTGTTATTGTGCATAGATGCATGAAGTTGGAGCCAAACTGGAGAGGAGAACAAATGTGCAAATGCAAACCAATACATTTACTTATGTTGATCTAAAGTCTACTTAAATTAATAAGATAAAGGTTGAGAACTACTTTTGTTTCTAGGTAAACAAATACCATTAGCCCACAGCATATTGAAGTGAAAAATTAAGATTACAAATAGAGAATCTCAAGGGAAATACATTATGGGAGATACATGCAATAAATAATAAAATTTAATTTAACTACATCATACAAACTTAGACAATTGAGTTTTTTTATTTTAGCTCCATCACTACCAACACCAAAATAGGACTTACTACGAAACTACAAACACAACTTGATCACAATCATAAATAATAAGACAATGATAATCACCATAAAAAAACACAAATGGCACACCAAATATAAACATAAACTTCATCCCCATCTCATTTAGCAAACTCTTCAAAAAGAGCTTCATCTCTTTCATATCCTCCATTACTTGTCCGTCAAATGTTGTCTTGATCTTCAACTCTTTCCCGTTGATCATTTCCGCATCAGAGGCAATAAGATCATCACGCCAACTCAAAAATTTCTTACTCCTTGGACATTTCAAATACTCTTCTGGGGGTTCGTAATTGAATTGGGTACTAGGAGTTCACCTTCAACTTCACACTTGCGACATACATACACTTTACACTCACTTTTTTGTTGAGGATCATGCTTCCATTTTCCCTTAAAATCAATCCAATTAAAAAAATTACAAGGTAGGATCAATATAATATACATCAATGATGTACAAATTAAATACAAAAAATACTCCTCTTTGAGCACAAAAAAACCATATTAATCTTTGCAGAAACTAGTGGATCATGAGTTTATACAAAAACTATCTTGATAGCTTGGGCAAATCTCCCACATAAGTACCTCAACTTGCAAGCAGGGGCGTCTTCGAATCAATATTCTTCTAGCTAGTCTTGGATATTCGTCTTCAAGCTGATAACCCTAATGTGGT